GAAACATACCTTTGAAATTGAAATTGAATCGAGCTCGGAACACTGGAACAGGACAGCAGCGTCTTCGACACTTCGTTTGCCCGGAATTTGTGAGGAGTGAGGAATCGAATCGAGCTGGAAATCGCCGCCTATAACCCTAAATTAGTTTGATGCAGAAAATCAGAAATTAAAAAATTTATGCGACTGGTCGAGAGTAGAACTCAAAACTTAAAAATATAAAAACTCAAAAAAAACCTCAGAGAGTAGTCGAGTACTGGGATGAGATCATGAGAATGAGATGAGACTTACAAAACTTACAAAAGTAGTGAAGTTAACCGGTGAAGATGAGATGAGACTCGAGCTCGAATGTCGACTGGTCGTAACTCGACTCGCAGACTGATATCCTAGACTCGCAGTCGATTCTCGTCTTCTTCTTCTCGATGATATCTCCTAAGCACTGAACAGTAAGCAAACCCTAATGTAAACATCCCAGCCCTAGTGTATTAACTGAGTCTGAGACTTTGAGTGTCTGACTTGGGTAATCGATTATTTGATTGGGATTGGGCTTGGGTTGGGAGTTGGGGGAGATGGGCCTGGGTGGGAGTGGGACGCGGCTGGGCGTGGGCCTATAAAATAGGTAATTGGGTTTGGGCTGTATGGTATATTACCAAATTTCGGTATTTCGGTTTACTGAAATAGTACAATTATAAAACCGAAAACCGAACCGAAATACCGAAAATCCAGTACCGAATTAGACCGAAATACTGAAAAAACCGAAACCGAAATACCAAATTAATTTGGTTCGGTTCGGAATTCGATTTTTCGGATTTTATGTCCACCCCTAGTTTAGACAAACCAAGTTTAATGACTGTTCAATAGTTTATTTAAGTATTTTCAATCAACTTTTTTTAGCAATATAAATATTTTAACATTAACAAAAAAAACACTTGCCTTTGTTTTAACACATCAAAAAATTAATAGACTCACGCGCTTCACAAAATTGCACTTGGCTTTGCTTAGTCACAATCTTACTTAATCTTAAAAAAGTATCAAACTAAAATTTGGACAAGAAAATCTCAAACTTATGTTTTAAGAGCTAGAGTTAAAACTTGTCTCCCTATTATCAAACTGAAGAAAGGCAGAGCCTTTTGAAAAATTAAGCCAAGTTGACTTAGGCAATAAATTTTTTACTTATTAAAAATAGCACTCTAAGGACTCGTTTGTCCATAAAAAATTTTCCTTTTTTTTAGGAATTATTTTTCAAAAATGTATTTGTCTATAAAATTTTGTAAGCTTTTGAAGATTTTCTAAAAATAAATTTTTCAACAACCAAAAAGTGGCTTTGACCATTTTTTCGAAAATTTCGGAATTTTTTTCCCTGATAACAAAATTTCAATAATTTTTTCAAGTGAAATACATGTCCAAACATAATTTTAAATTTCAAATATTATTTTTTAACTTAACTCCAAATACTACTTTTTCTATAAAAAAAAATTACAATTTTTTTGTCCAAATGCATACGAAAATACTTTAGTTTGTCTTCCATGGTTAATTTAACTCAATTGGGTGTAAATATTTGATGGTGCAGATAAGTTTTTACCCACACAAGAGTTTCTGACATCCCAACTCAATGTTACATTATCATTCAACCAACTTCACAAGCCCTTATTTTGTTAGAAAATTTGTGTCCCTTACAATAGTTGTTGAAGCACTATTTATAGCTGCATCTAATGAATAAGGCCCTAGGATCAAGCCCATTTTAAATGACATATATGAGGGTCATTGATGAATGTGTAACATTCGACTATGAATGTCAAAAATCTCTATAACGGATTGTGTATTTAATACTGCAGAATATTCTTCATTGAATGTCGTCGGATGGCAGACATTCGTTTAACTTCATTAGCAATATTCCTTTCGGGTCTTCCCGGTGCCAACCAAAGATACTGTCCCCAGTCTTGGTTTCCACTCGTCTCGCTTTCCGTCTGTCTTCGATTTCACATGTCGTTCTATTATACGAGTATTTAGTACGAACCGATTTTACAATATATAAATAGTCTTCATGCTTTTCGGTAGCACATCCTTGTGTTATCAGAAAGTTGGTAAAGATACCTTTTTTGGCGGAAAAGTTTTTGATTCCCTCTAAAAAGTTTCTAACGCTTGATTAGACGTACGTTTCTCCGCATTTAATGCACCGAACATGCGTCACTCTATGATTTTAACAATACTTTCACCGGTTCTCGAGGTAATCATGGCCATGATTTTAGCCGCTTTTTCCTTTACTTATACGCCTCATTCTTCTTCTTTTACACTTCACAATTTTTCAAACTCTATCAACTTCTTTGCACTCAACTCTCTCTTGCTTTCACCCTTCTTCAATCTTCTTCTTCAAAGAACTTTCATTATCTTCTGCTAACCATGGACTCCTCCTCCAAGAAATCAAGCTCTCTAAAAAGCAAAGAAAGCACCAATGATGTTGCCCTCCTACTGTGAGCAGCATCATCCCAAAAGGCTCAGTACAGCCAAGGATTTTGATGAGAAGTTTCCTTCTACTAACTTATACACATGGGTTGTTAGTGTGTACCCTTCTTCCATCCGTCCTTCTAGTATTTCTGTTGTAAAGGAGTACCGTAGTTGTCATGTACCCCTTCACTTTGAGGTCATTCTCATTGAGTGGGGGACTTGACCCCGTAATCTTGGAGTTCTCCTACAGGTATTAAGTCTGCTTGGCACAGGTGAACCCCTCTGTGTGGCGGACGGTAGCCTGTCTATAGCAACTATGCCAGGAGACGGGGGAAGACCTCTCCTTGGCCCACATGCTGAACCTTTACTCCCCCAAGATTTTTCCTGTGGGAGTAATAAACTTTAGCAAACGTGGTCATCATGCCTTGCTTACCAGCATGGATGATGATAACGGCCATGGATGGATGGAGCGGTTCATTGTAGTTGCCACCAGGGACATCATCCCGGCCACAACTCCATATTTCCCTAAGTTATGGACTCATACACGTAAGTTCAATGTCTATCTTTTCTCTGATTAAAGGTTATTTTATGTTATTACTGATCCTTCTCTTTTCACTATTTCAGCAACTTGGTGGACACCACCAAGGTTGAAGGCTTGGACCAGTGAGTCGAGAAGATTTTGGATATTACCACGCCTGAGACCCGCCGGTGGAAAGAACTGGCCCTTAAATATAGGTGGAAAGCCAAAAAGTATGGTAAGTTGATTCTCGAACTAATCTTGTTTTTACCTCATATATAAGAAAATTGACAAACTTCTTTTTCCGTTGAATTCAGATCTTCCACAGGGATCTGTTACCGTCCTCGAGGAGGACGTTTTGGCTGATCCCACAGAGGAGGCGAGGTTACACCCACACGGGCGCTGTAAGCACCTAATTTTTGTCTTGCATAAAGACGCTCCTAAATTCCCAAAAATGGTTTTTTCTAATTAATTTTTTTAAGATTTATAGAATTATTAAAGAGTTTTCTCTATTTTTGTTATTTGTATTTTTATGGCATTTACCTGCATTTTTAGCATAGTTATAAGCATTTAAAATCATGAATAAAAAGTCAAAAATATTTTTATCTTTCATCTTTTACGTTTTAGACTTTAATTACATTTTTAGCATCTAATCGCATATTAATTGTATTACTAAAATATAAAATTCCAAAGACATTCTTGCATCATATTTTTCAATGTTAATTAACGATTAGGTAAATTAGATTGAATAGGTTATTTATGTAAAAATTGGATTTAATTAGAATTTGAGTTTGAAGTGGTTAATTTTGCAAAAAGCCTAATAAAGAAGGAAATAGATTACATTGGCTTGCTTTTTGGGGAATTTGCATCTATACCCGTTTTTTGTGCCACATTTTAACTTGTACCCGCTTTGCAAAAAAAATTACAAGCGTACCCGCTTTTTCGCATAATTTCAGCATACGGGGCTGAAGTAGCAAAGACAATCACGCAAAACTTCAGCATTCTAGTAGCCGGGCCTGAAGTTCAGCTCTAGAGCTGAAGTTTTTGTGTTGTAAATGGGAAACTTCAGCTCTAGAGCTGAAGTTTTTTTTACCACCTATTGATATTACATACTAGAGCTGAAGTTTCCAGGAACTTCAGCTCTAGAACTGAAGTTTTTTTTACCACCTATTAATATTACATACTAGAGCTGAAGTTTTTTTTACCACCTATTAATATTACATACTAGAGCTGAAGTTTTTGTCTTGTAAATGGGAAACTTCAGCTCTAGTGTAGTAATTGGGAAACTTCAGCTCTAGAGCTGAAGTTTTCGTATAGTAACTGGGAAACTTCAGCTCTAGAGCTAAAGTTTTCGTGTTGTAACTGGAAAACTTCAGCTCTAGAGCTGAAGTTTTAGAAATTCATAATCTAATGTTGACAATGCTTCTTCCATTGTTGCATATGAGGCTAAGACTAGGCTGAAGAGATCAAATAGTACATCTAATTTAGTTATCCAATCAAATACTGAAGATTTGCTTATGAGCAAAGGTGGTGGATCCATTATATCAGAATTCTATAGTGCAGAATATAGGAGAAACAATGTAGTACCCAGCACTATGAGTGCTTCAGACATGGTGATTCCTATCACTTGCATGGAGCATATCACAATTAGGATGGATAACCGGTCCTTTGACTATTCTCTTCTGTGCAACAGTTACTCTTTTTGCAATATCCATAATTTGTGATTGCTATAAATCTTCAGATTCTACAACACAGATTTATAGGAAGACAATAGAAGAACTAATATTTAAAAAGGCAACGGGATGATCGTCTTTTTGCTTGACAACTCAGTCAATTGCTTGTTTGCATATTTCAGCTATTTATTTCAGAAGAAGAAGAAAACGAAGGAGGAGAAGAAGGAGGAGAAGGGGGGCTGAAGTTATTTAAGAAATAAGCATAAGTTAAAAGTTTTAAAAAACATGGGTATAGGTTAAATGGGGGCGACCAATTTGGGCGCCCGTGCAATTTTTTGTCAATTGCTTTTTAGATTTGGGCCAAACGAATTTCGGCAGCCCAATATCCATGCAAGGTCCAAATTTCGCCCCAACGCCCAGTCTCCATAATCCGGTCCAGCTTCCCCCATTAACCAAAACAATCCCACCCCTTGATTTTCCCTTGATCCAACGGCCATGAACTAATAACCTTCCCCTTTATAAATGTCGGACCCTACTCCTCCCCCCTCCCCCCAGAACCCTAGAGACCTCGTTCATTTCCCATCCTCCCCCTTCTCTCTCAAGAAAACCCTAGCCGCCCCTAAATCCCCCACCTCCTTAATCGACGGCCACCACTCCAAACCACCCCAAATCCTCACCCCCACAATCCCCACCTCCTCCTCATCCCATATCCCCTTTTAATTTCCTCCAAAACACCCTAAGATTGCTCGATTTTCATATCTAAAATCC